AATATTAAAAAGAGGGTGCCTGGGTGGCGCAGTTGGTTGAGCGACTGCCTTCGGCTCAGGTCATGATCCTGGAGTCCCTGGATCGAGTCCCGCATCGAGTCCCGCATCGGGCTCCCTGCTCAGCAGGGGGTCTGCTTCTCCCTCTGACCCTCCCCCCTCTCATGTGCTCTCTCTCTCATTCTCTGTCTCTCAAATAAATAAATAAAATCTTTAAAAAAAATAAAATTTTAAAAAGAAAACACAGGAGAAAATCACTGGGACCTAAAGCCTGGTAAAAAAATGTTCTTACATTTGATCCCAAACCACAATGCATAAATCAATTGGACCACATTCAAAATTTAAAAATTTAGCCCCGAGAAAGCAGAATGAAAAGACAACCTGCAGACTGGGAGGAAAATATTTGCAAACCATGTGTTTGACAAAGGACTCATATGTAGAATATATAAAGAACTCACAAAATTTAATAATAAAAAACAAACGGCTCAATTAGAAAATGACAAAAGACATCTCACTGAAAAGGAAATACAGATGGAAAATAAGCACATAAAGAGATTTTTGCCATCATTAGCCATTAGGGAAATACAGATTAAAGCCACAATGAAAGATCGCTCCATCAGAATGGCAAAAATAAAAAAACAATGATAACACCCAGTGCTGACGAGGATGCAGAGAAACTGGATATATTCATAAATTGCTGATGGCAATGTAAAATGTTACAGCCACTCTGGAAAAACAGTTTGGCAGAGTCACAAAACTAAACATGTCCCTACCATACAACCCAGCAATTGAATTTTGGAGCATTTATCTAGATAAAAAATTTTGTTCACATGAAAACCTATAAACAAATACAGTAGTTTTTTTCCTAATGGCAAAAACTGGAAACAACCCTAATGGCCTTCATGGGTGAATGACACACAAACTATGATGTAACCATACCAAAGAACACTATTTGGCAATTAAAAAAAAAAAAGAAATATAGGGGTGTCTGGGTGGCTCAGTTGGTTGAGCACCGGCCTCTTGGTTTTGGCTCAGATCACGATTTCATGGGTTGTGAGATGGAGCCCACAGAGGGGCTCTGCACTCAGATGAGAGTCTGCCTGAGATTCTCTCCCTCTGCCCCTCCCTCTGTGCATGCTCTCTCTCTCTCCCTCCCTCTCAAATAAATAAATAAATCCTTAAACTATAGCTTTTTATTAAAAAGAAGAAATGAACTATATGTTTTATATATATACTGTATCTCCACTGTGGTGGTGGATGCATGGACCTACACATCTGATAAAGTTGCATAGAACTAAACACACATGCACACACTCCAACAAGTAAATTGGGGGAAATCTGAACAAGAGAGATAGATGTGTCAATATCCTGATTTTGAGGGTGCCTGGGTGGCTCAGTTGGTTAAGCGACTGCCTTCGGCTCAGGTCATGATCCTGGAGTCCCTGGATCAACTCCCGCATCGGGCTCTCTGCTCGGCAGGGAGCCTGCTTCTGCCTCTGACCCTCCCCCCTCTCATGTGCTCTCTCTCTCTCGTTCTCTCTGTCTCAAATAAATAAATAAATAAATAATCTTTAAAAAAAAATATCCTGATTTTGATACTGTACCAGTTTTGAGAGATGTTATGACTGTGTGAAACTAGGTAAAAATACATGGGATCTCTCTGTACTTTGTTTTACAACCGCATGTAAGTCTATGATGATCTCAAAATAAAACTAAAAATTCAATTGCGTTTCTATATACTAACAATGAACATGTGGAAACCAAAATTAAACACATAGTACCACTTACAGTCACTCCAAATAAAATGAAATAGATATGACTCTAGCAAAATATGTACAGGTGGCTGAGTGAGTATGAAGAAGTAGCACAAAGGAGTTCTTTTGTGCTAAAGGAATATTTTTGTATCTTGATTGTAGTGGTGATTACAGGAATCCCGACATGGGATGAAATGGCTAGAGTAATGAACACACACACACACAGAGACACACACACACATTAATGCAGGTTAGGAAAATGGTGAAAGCTGAATGAGGCCTATAGTCTACTTAAAAGTAATGTACCGATGTCAATTTCCTGGTTTTGATATACTGCATCTAAAGAAATGGTAACCACTGAGGAAGCTGGGTGAAGGCGCAAGGTTCTTTTGTACTACTTTTGCAACTTCCTGTGAGTCTATAATTATTTCAAAATAAAATGTTAAAAATAAATGAGATGAGGCCAAGGAAGGGTTTCAGAAATGATTAGCGGAAACAAGCGATGCAAATGAATGAGGCTGGATCCAGTCTGGAACAAAGGGTTTCTATGTGGCTTAAGCCCGTATTTCTGTGGCCCCTTCTTTTTCAAATGATTAATTTTTTTCATGGCATTACACAAATATAGATATACAAATGGATATACATATATATACAGAGAGTAAAAAGTGCATCTTCCTTCCTACTGCCTTAACCAGATGTAAACAGTGTTGAGTATTTTGATATAACTGCGCTGGCATTTTTTTATGCATTCACACCCATGCATGGTTATATTGTGGATAAAGTCATGACGCCACACAATAACATAATGTTTATGAAATTCTCTTTTTTGGGGCGCCTGGGTGGCTCAGTCAGTTAAGCATCCAACTATTTATTTATTTATTTATTTATTTGAGAGAGAGAGAGAATGAGAGACAGAGAGCACGAGAGGGAAGAGAGTCAGAGGGAGAAGCAGACCCCCCGCTGAGCAGGGAGCCCGATGCGGGACTCGATCCCGGGACTCGATCCCGGGACTCCAGGATCATGACCTGAGCCGAAGGCAGTCGCTTAACCAACTGAGCCACCCAGGCGCCCGCATCCAACTCTTGATTTTGGCTCAGATCATGATCTCAGGGTTCAGGGACCCAGCCCCTCATGGGGCTCCATGCTCAGCGGGGAGTCTGCTTCTCCCTCTCCCTCTGCTCCTCCCCTGCTCATGCTCTCTCTCTCTCTCTAAAATAAATAAATCTTTTAAAAAAAAGAAATTACCTTTTTTTCCATGACCATGTAGGTATGACAGTTGCTCAACCAGGGTATGTAACTCTGCTGAGTTCCTCGGTTATAGAGATGCCACACATGTTTCAAGTGCGGTGGTGAACAGGCATTTTGAGAGAGCCTAAATACTCAGGCTAGCCCTCCTTGTGAAAACAGGGATGAGGTCATGGTGAATCTACTTCTTGCAGACAGCTTTTAAGAAGTCATGACTATAATGAAGCTTGATCATTTCAATCGTCTTGAAAACGTGGTCGGGTTTGGGTTGGATTTGGTTTGGAATAAAGATAAGATGAAACCACGAAAGGGCTTTTAAGCCCACCAGCAAGGAAAACAGCCATGCACAAGGGCAAATGAAAACCTGAGAAGACCTTGTGCAATATCCAGAGCAAAGATACACTTAAGAGGAGTACTTAGAAATCACTATCGGGTGAAAGGTTAAGACAATGCGGGTAACGGGGCAATTCACCAATAAAGAAATACACATGACCAGCAAATATAGCAAAAAGAAAAAAAAAAAAAAAGCGCCTGTGCGTTTGGTGAAACTCTACAGTGCTGCTGAGTTAGCAGAGAAATGCGAATTAAAGAAAGGTACAATGGGTCGCCTGGCCGGGTTTTCTGTGGAGACAGTGGGCAAGGGGGATAAGGTAAACAGGCGGAGCCTTCCCGGTAGGCCGTCGGCACGGAATCCGTAGAGCGGTCCGGACACTCGGCCGCCGCTCCGCTCAAGGACACGCCCCCAAAGCGATCCCTGGGGACACCGCCTTGCGGTCCCTTCTTCCCTCGGGCTCTGCCCTTGGGCGCCCAGCGGGAGGCGGGGCTTGCTGGCGAGGCGGTCCCGTGGGCGGCCCCGTGCCGGCGGCGGCCGCTCCGCGGCGCCCGGGCGGGGGCGTGGCCACAGCCGGGGCGGGGCTACGCTCGCGGCGGCCGCCCCGGCAGCCGGCGAGGGGCGGAGCTCTCCGTAGGCGGCTCCGGAGGGGCGGGGGCGGTGGCGGCGGCCGCGGAGGCCGCATCCCCGGCCGGGCCAGGGAAGGGGTGACCGAGGGCGGGGCGGCACCGGCGGCCGGCGGGGCGCCTCAGGCGTCGCGTCCACCGGCCCGGCCGCTCGCGCTCCCCTGGGTCTGCGGGGCCCGCGCCGGCCCGCGCCCATGGCGGCGTCGGCGGCTCTGTCGGCGGCGGCGGCGGCGGCGGCCCTGTCGGGCCTGGCGGTGCGGCTGTCGCGCTCGGCGGCGGCCCGCGGCTCGTACGGCGCCTTCTGCAAGGGGCTCACGCGCACGCTGATCACCTTCTTCGACCTGGCCTGGCGGCTGCGCATGAACTTCCCCTACTTCTACGTGGTGGCCTCGGTGATGCTCAACGTCCGCCTGCAGGTGCGGATCGAGTGAGCGGGCGCCGCCGCAGCCCCGGCCGGAGGGTCCCGCGCGCCGGGCCGCGCCGGGCAGGGGCGCCGGCATGGAGGACGGCCGGCGGGACGCGGCGGGGGCAGGCGGCCGGGCGGCCCGGGCCGCCGGGCCCTAGACCTGCGCGGGAGGACGCCGGCCAGCCGGCCGCCGAGCCACCCGGCCCGGCCCCGGCCACGAGCCGCCCGCCCCCCCCACCCCCCCCCCGCCCGCGGCGCGGCCGGTGACCTATTGCACAGAAACTCTGCAAAGGGGCCCTTTGCGTCGGGCTCGAGAAGAAAGAGAAAAGAACCAAACCCGGTTGGAGTGCGGCCGACCTGTTGCCTCCCGTCGGCCAGAGCCCGGGAAGCAGCAAGGAAACATTCCGCAGCAGGGGCTTGACTGGCCCGGGTCCGCCAGGTAGGAGGCCGGAGGCTGGACCTGCGTGCGGGCCGGCGGCGGCGCTTGCCATGACAGCTCGGTGACAGGGGGACCTGGGGACGGGAGCCCTGGAAGCCAGCCCCCGAGCTGGCCAGGCGGGGGGCCGCAGGCGCCCCGGACTCCCCGGTCCTCATTCCCAGACGGGGGTGGGGGGCGGCGGCGGCCCGGGCATCTCGGAGGGTCAGCCCGTCCCCGCCCCGCTTTCCCCGGAGGCCCTGGTGCTGCCACCTGAACCCCAGGGAGTGGAGGGGAATGGGCCGGGGGAGGCGCCGGGGAAGGCTCTAGAAGGAAAAGATGCTGCCACCCTTCACCCCCCTTGGGGGGCCAGGCAGGGAGGGTGGTTGTGTTCTTGGCCAAAGCCCTGGTCGGGCGCCTTCTAAGCCCCCAGGCCCCTGGGCTCTGGGCATCTCCCTCCCGGCCCGTGGCAGAACTGCCTCCCGCCCTGTGTTGGGGGCCGGGGGACTGCTCTGGACCTGCTCCTGCTGCGCCCACTGCTCCCCTCCCGCTCTGGGGGCGCCCTCTGGCGCTGGGCGCCTGGACATGTGGAGACCCGGGGGAGGGGGAAGGCCGCTCCGCTCTGTCCCTGCCCCCCCCCCCCCGTCTCGCTGTTGCGCCAACGCAGCCGCCCGCCCTCCGGCCCCCACGTCTGCCCTGCGGGTGCCGCTGAAGGCCGCCTGCAGCAGCCCCGGTGCCCCCAGAGGAGCCGGGGGAGTGGGGATCCCCTGGAGCCCAGGGCAGCTCTCAGGCTGGGGTGGGGAGAGCGGCTGGAGAAGCGGCTTGCGAGGAGGCGGCCCTTGGGCGAACGGGCCCCACTCTCCGTGCGGAGGCCACTGTGAAGTCTCCATCTCTTTCTGTCTTTCAGGAACCGGGGTTTGTAGGTGGTGACCCACCCCTTCCGTGGCCTTGTCAAGAGACTCAAATCCGTGCCCAGGGGCCGCCCCTGGCCCCGGAGCTGCCCGGGGAGCAGCTGGGCAAAGGGCCTGGCCCAGGAGGAGAGAAAGGACCTTCCAGGCCGAGGCCCCGAGGGCTGGGGTAGCCAGTGGTCCCGTTCTGGCGTGGGGAAGGACGCCACCCTGTCACCTCAGCTCTGCATCTCCTAGCAACACTTTGAGGGCCTTCTGTTCTCCCCACCTGATGCTTGGAAAAGCTGGCTCTGGGACAGGGAGAGACGTGTCCTTGTCCTACAGATAAGAAGGGGTGGGGCTGAATCTGAGAACACCTGGCACAGGTGGGGTGGGGAAGGGGAGCTCAAGGCCCCCCCGGGGGACCTAGGGGGAGAGAGAGAGAGAGAGAGGTGCAGGGTAGGGAATGTGGGGAACTGGCTTTTCTTGGAGTGGTGTGGGAGGTCACAGGGAAGACCGTCAGCGCTGAGATGGACACAGGAGAGAGTCCTAGAACGCCTTGCGGAGTGGAGGTCTTTACCCACAGAGCCTGGCCTCCCCTGCCGCCCCACCCCAGGCTGGACCAAGGGCTCCTCGGCAGTTGAGTGGGACAAGCCTCTCAGTTTGGGTGGCAGGGTGGGGGTGGCAGGGGGTGGCGTGGCTGCTGGGGACAGGACGGAACCAGGAGGGTGAAGGGATGAACCTGGGATGGGGCTGGGACCCGGCACGACCCCATCTGTCTGTCCCCAGGCTCGCGCCCCCCTCCCCAGCCCCAAGCCCAGGATCCCACAGGAGAACCTCCTCTGGATGGGCTTGAATTGGCCCTGGAGGCCCCCGGTGTACAGCTCCCTGACGCACCAGGATGGCCAGGCGTGGTTCCCGAGGCGGGCCAGGAAGGACCCCGGTCCCACAGCCACTCTGTCACTGGTTGCTCTCGGCTCCCAGGCTCCGAATTCCTGGGCCTGAAACCCCAAGCAGGCTGGCCAGCCCCAGGGACACGGTGGCCCAGTGTCACACCTCCTGGCCTCCTCAGCCGCCACGCTGGAGGCCGGGTCCTGAGTGAAGAGTTGTGCCCGCCTCACCCCGGGGACCGAGGCCAGATGAGGCCGCCATGTGTTGTCCCCTGCAGCTTCCCACAGACAGGGTGTGATGGCTTCCCGCCTTGTGCCAAGTGTCCTGGGATCCCCGGTCCCGGTGGCGCCTCCTGTACCCCAACCCTTTCCACCCAGGACCACTTCTGGGAGCCTGCCGGCCTGCCGACTCCATCCACAGATGTCCGGGGACAGCGTGTGAGAGCCACGTGGGGCCTCCTTGGGGCTGATCCACAGATGTGCCCCTTGCAAGGCCCCGTCTCACCCTCGGGGTGACCTGCTCCCCAGCTGCGGCCTTGTGGCTCAGCTGGAGCTGCCTGGGGCCTGTGACACCTCTTGCCCACAGGGAGAGGGGTGGGGGGAGCCTCAGGGCCCTGGCCCGAGACGCCTGCCCCGCGGGGCGCCCCAGCCAGTGCCTGCCCCGCCCCGGGGGCCCGGAAGTCTCCGCACAGCCCCCGAGCGACTGGGCAGGGGCTGCCCTTCTTCGGCCTGTGGTCCTGCCTCTGCTTTTCTGACCGGTTTGGCCTTGAGTAGGTAGCGAGCTTCTCCCCAGCCCCCACCTTCCCTCTGCCCGCACTGGGCCCTGGCTGCCTGACAGGCTCTCGATGCACTTTATTTATTTGCAGTCTGTTTTCCAGGCAGCAGAGCTTCTACAGAATCCGAGACCCGGGCTGGAGATGACTGTCACTTTGCTGTGTGTGATTAACTGTACTGGTCAGCACCTGCTGCTCAGAGCACGGTCTCGTTCCCGGTGTTGTCAGATCTTGTCACTCTAAGTTAAAAAAACAAACCCTCCCTGAGTTCAATAAAGTAAAAGAAAACTGGAGGCCTCCTCTTCTGGTGTGGTGCGGTAGGCTTAGAGGAGGGGGGCCGGCCGTGAAGTCACCTGGGAGGGCCGCGGAGGGCTGCAGGGGTGGAGGCCTGCGGGGCCAGGGCCCCTGGAGAAGGCGGCGGCACGGGCCTGGCCAGAGAGGTGGCAGTTTGTCCCATTCACAACCTTTATTTGGATGACCTGATACCTAGGTCTCCTCTCTTTTGAGGGTGGGCTGGGGGTGGGGGTGAAAGAGGCTCCCTGCACATCATGTTGGGTCACCTGGAGACCTGTCCGCAACAGCAGGTGGCGAGGTGCCCCTTGCTTCCCTGCCAGCCAGGTGGGCGCCCAGTTTTGGAAAAGGTAAAACCATGGGGACCGGAAGCCTGCTGGCCTTCCCCCACCCCGGCCCCCCGAGACCCGAACTGTCCCTTCAGAGCCCCAGCCTAGTGACTCCCCAGAGAAGCCTGGCCATGGGCTCTAAGGGCTGTAGGGCTGAGGGCGGGCAGGCAGGCAGAGGGGGGTGGAGGGCGCCTGGGGACCTCAGTGGCTGAGGTAGAAGAAGGAAGGCCCACAGTCCGCGGGGAGGAGGCTCCTGAGGATGCAGGGTCATGGTCCCCCTGAGGAGCACAGCCTGGGGTAAGGGCCTTGGGCGTGCTCCACCCGCTGGGAACGTCCAGGGGTCAAAGCACCCTGACAAGACAGACCCTTCGGGCACCTGCCACCCAGAGGGATGGACCCCGGTCCCTGCCAGCACCCTGAGCTTCCCTCCGCTTTGTCCAGATGGTCGCGTTCAGTCCCTGTTGGTCCCAAACCCAGCCCAGGGATCACGCAGCCTGGTGCCACCAAGAGGGGAGGGTCAGACCGGAGCTCGGGGCCCCAGGCACGTTGGAGAGGGAGGACCACCCTTCCGTGCCACCGAGGAAGGCAGGCAGCTTCCGCTCTGGCTCAGGGCGGCCTCCTGAGCCCAGCTCTTCCACGGACCACCGTGTGGCCCCAGGCCGGCCACGGGCACTCTCGCGTCGCCAGGAGGGAGCCTGCAGTGTGGCCGTGGCCCTTCAGCGGTCGGTGGCTGCTCAACGTTTATTCCGGCCTCACCTGGAGCACATCGTCTCTATGAGGAGAGGAAAGCAAGCGAAGGGAACTGGCAGGTGTGGAGAGCCTGCCCAGTGTCTGGGGCCCTGCCGCCTGCTCTGTTCCCGGAACCTCCTCATCATCCCCACGGCCACCTTCGGAGGAGGTCATGCGAGGCTCTGGTCCCCGCATGAGCCGCAAGCTTGACCTGAGCAAGCGGAGGCTCCTCACCTCCTGCCCTGTCCTTGGAGTGGACCTTCCACCCACCGTCGCCCCACGAGGAGCTGTCCCCAGGTCGCAGCCTGGAGAGAGTGAGGTGTGGCTGGGCCCGTCTGGACAGCATGTGGGACTGCACCCGGTGAGGGCCTCCGTACAGACCCGTGACTCTGGCAGGTGGGTGTGTGGACACGTCCTCACGTGGCAGCCGCCCAGACAGGCCTCTCGGGTCAGTTCCCTGGCGCAGTGCCCCTGCCTCCCGCCCGTCCGCAGCGCTCCGTCCCTGGGTTCGGCTCGGCGCCCTCCTCCCCATGCTCCCTGCTCCGGCTGCCCGCGGGGGGCTTGGACAGCACGTCTCCCTGGTGCCCAGGCTTTCCCAAGGTTGACAGCCCCTCTTCGCCACCTTCCATGTGTGGTTCTCCGGTTTGTTTTGTTGCAAATGGGAAATGCCACTGCTCCAGCCGTTCCTCCAAGGTTCTGCGGCCCCTCTTACTGGAGAAACTCGAGTTGAGAGTTTAGAAGATCTTATTCCTGTGTCTGTTGCAAACCAGGAGAGGACAGGGTCCGTGCCGTTCCCATCCAGAGCACAGGGGTCAGCCCAGGATCCCCTCTGTCTCCACCTGTCCGGGTTTGCCGCTCGCTTCCCACCTGGGGAGCCCTCCCGCCCTGTCCTCGGTCTCTTGGCTGCTTCCCGCCGTCGTGCTGGGGACCCTCGACTGCGGCTGGAGAGCCTTTGTGGGATGCTCTCGCCCCCTCCTCCCGCGGGCCCTGGCTTCCCCCAGCCACCTTCACACCCTTTCTGGGCGGGCTCGCAGCCCCCCTCCCGGCTCCCCTCGGGGCACTGCCCCCCCCCCCCCCCCCATGGAGGAAGAGAGAGGAGAGAGCTAAGCAGGAGCTCTCCGTGGCCCAGCCCGCTGAGACTCGGCCTCCCCTGCGGGCCTCACTCTCCGGGGCAGAGGAGCTGCGGGCCGATCCGGGCACCAGGAAGGCCGGGGCGCTGCTGGGAGGATGACGCCGACCACAGACGGGACCCTTCTCCGCTCCGGAGCCCCCCCGCGCACTCACCCTGCAGAAGGAGGCGCCCCAGAGGCGGGGGCCCCATGGCAGGGAATGGCTGCCGGGCCTCGGGGTCTGGGGGACACCAGCCGGGTGCCCGCTCTCCCCTGCGCGTGTCCCCCTGCCCCGGCTGTAACGGGGACCTGACGACGCTCCCGCCTCCCTGCGGGGTTTTCTGAGGACCACGTGGCGGGAATGCCCGGTCAGCCCTGAGCCCAGTGCTCCGCACAGACAAGGGCTCCTTAGGTCCACGCTTCGGAGCAGGCCCGCCGTCCACCGCAGCGAACCTTCTCAGTGTTCACGGTGCCCCCGACACAGCGATGCCTGCCCTGCTGTCCCCTGAGTCACCCCCTCAGTGCCAGACTCTGGGGCAGGATTTCAGGATACAAAGGTGAGCCACTTCAGTGTGGCCCGTGTCCTCCTACCAGCGACAGACCCAAGACTTGGCCACTTGGCTTCAGATACACGCGTGTTTGGGAAACGCAATCAAATGCACCCTCAAATCAGGGGGACCCAGCAAACGGGAGCTCAGGGAGGAATCTGGGGGCACTGCTGGGGAAATGCAGGGGAGGGGAACCCCCCGCCCCACGCTTCTCTGCAGGCATCGTCACCGCTGCGGTGGGTCCGGAGAATTTGGGGCTTAGCTGGATGCAGAGCCAGCTGTCGGGGACTTGGGAACACGGCCTCCCATGCCCACAAGATGGAGCCACCCTTGCAGCCGGGAGCAGCGGTGGGGGAGCCCCTCTGGAGAGGATCCTTGCGTGGGGGACAGAGGGACGGAGACACCCCTGGCAGGGCACCGAGCTGCCTCAGGCAGTCCCCCTCTGCAGAGTCCACCTTCCTCTGGAAGACGGCCACAGCCCTGGTCCCAAGGCTGAGCAAGGTCCCGAGGTCACCACCACCCGGGTGGCCCACCACACAAAACAAAGCAAAGGGCCTGCCTGTCTCACAGCCTCGGCCTCGTGGATGCTCTGTGGTCACAGCAGCCTCTCAGGGCCCGCACCTCCTGCTTCTGTGCCTCGGCCTCCGTACCCTCCAAGGGTCGTTGCTGCCCTCGAGGGAGCCGGCAAAACCCCCAGGCTCAGGACCTCCGGGCGCGGGCCACGTAGGGCCCTCCCCTGCCACCATCGAGCCAACGGGGAGGCAGCAGACAGGCTCGTGCGGCCCCGGAGAGGTGGAGGCAAGGAGGTCCGGTCTCCTCCCACCGCGGGTGAGACAGCCAATATGGTGGCCATAGAGCAATGGGCCGGGGCGGGTGCCCCCGTGTGTGCTTTAGGGGGACAGCGGGCTCCTCGGTGAGGTCCTTGGGAAGATAAGAGCCTGTCGTGGAAGGCTTTTGAGCAAGGCTCCAGCCCTAGAACATGCTCCTCGCTCCCGACAGTGCCATTCTCTTTTCTCTGCCTAAGTGGGGAGACCAGGTAGGGCCTGGTCCGAACACCCCAGGGATACATACCAGGAGCAAGTGGGATTTCTCTCTGGAACGCAACGTTGGTTGCACATCTTGAAGTCAATGTTTTACTCCATATTAACATAAGCAGGGGGAAACCTGACCATTACAGTAGGTGCGGGAAAGAGGTTTGACAAAATCCAACACCCGTCCATGATAAACATTTTCAACAAAATTGGTATATGGAAAGGAATTTTCTCAACCTAGTAAGGCGTGTCTACATAATCTTATAGTGCGCATGACACTCAATGGTGAAAGAATGAAGCTTTTCTCTACACATCGGGAACAATGCAGGATGTGCACTTTTGCCCTTTCTATTCAACATTATAGAGGAATGAGCTGTGGAAGAAGCTCCTCATCCCCCACCCCCCAAATAAAAACATTCTGATTGGAAAGGCAGAAATAAAGCTATCTTTATTCACCGATGATCCTATATGGAGAAAATCCCACGAAATAAACATAGACAAAAAGGCACTAGACCCGTAAGTATTTCTGGCACAGGACAGAGGACACAAGATCAATATTAAAATAGCAACTGCATTTCTATATACTAGCAACAAAAATTCAAGAATGGAATAAAATAATTTGAAAAACACTGCTGGGAAAGTTTAAAGAAGCTCTAGATAGAGGGGCGCCTGGGTGGCTCAGTTGGTTTAGCGGCAGGCTCTTGATTTCAGCTCGGATCATGATCTCAGGGTCCTGGGATGAGCCCTGCGTGGGAGTCTGCGCTCAGCAGGGAGTCTGCTTGAGGATTCTCTCTCTCCCTCTGCCTCTGCGCCTCCCCCTGCTCGTGCTCACTTGGTCTCTGTCTCTCGAATAAATATATGTATATATACATATATATATATATATATTTTTAAAGAGGGTATAGATAGAGACATTTCATGGTTTGGAAGACTGAATATTGTCAAGATGGCAATCTTCCCCAAATTTATCTGGAGATTGAACACAACCTCTATCCAAATCTCAGCTTAATCTCCTGTCGAAATTGATGAGCTGATCCCAAAATGTATGCGGAAATGTAGATGACTTTAAATACCCAAAACATTTTGAAAAACAAAGTTGAGGATTTACCATACCTATCTCAAAACTTAGTATAAACCACAGTAATGAAGACAGTGTGGTGTCGGTGCAAAGATAAGTGTATAAATCAGTGGAACAGACTGAGAGTATAAACAAATCCCTACATATATGATCGATTGATTTTTATTGTGGCAAAATACACACGAGATTTACCGTTTTACCCACTTAAGGGTTACAACCCAGTGGCATGGAACACATTCACGATATTGCGCATCCGTCGCCGGTTATCAGGTTCTAGATCATTTTCGTTACCTCAAAGTGGGAACACCATACCCATTAAGCTCTCGCTCCCCATTCCTTCCCTACCCCTGCCCCTGGCAACCAAAAATGTGCTTTCTGTCTCTATGCCTCTTCTGGATGTTTCATAAAAACGGAATCATACAAGATGTGACCTTCTGTGTCTGGTTTCTTTATTTTTTTTAATTTTTAAATTTTTTTTAAAGATTTTTATTTATTTATTGAGAGAGAGAGAATGACAGAGAGACAGCATGAGAGGGTGGAGGGTCAGAGGGAGAAGCAGACTCCCCGCCGAGCAGGGAGCCCGATGCAGGACTCGATCCCGGGACTCCAGGATCATGACCTGAGCCGAAGGCAGTCGCTTAACCAACTGGGCCACCCAGGCACCCTGGTCTGGCTTCTTTAATTCAGCAAAAGGTTTTGGAGGTTCGGAGAGATTGTTGCCAGTGTCAGTACTTTGTTCCTTCTGAGCGGGTGAATTCTACTCCATCGTCCGGATAGACCACTTTGGTTTAGCCATTCACACGCTGATGGACATTTGGGTTGTTTCTACCTTGCGGATCTTATGGATGGTGCTGCTACGATAAACATTCATGAACAAGTTTTGTTTGAACACCTGCTTTCGAGTTTTGGGGTCCATATCGAGGAGTGGAATTCCTGGATCACATGGTTATCCCCTGTTGAACTTGCTGAGGAAACGCCACACTGTTCCACACGGAGGCCGCACCACTGTCTTCGCGCTAGTGATGGATGATGCCTCTGACTTCCCCACATCCTCTCCCATGCTTGTTCTTTTCCTGTTTTTAAATGATGGTCCTCCTAGTGGGTGTGAAGTAGTGTCTCAGTGTAATTTTAATCTGCATTTCCCTACTGACTAAGGATGTTGAGCCTCTTTCCATTTGCTTGTTGGCCATTTGCAGGTCTTTGTACAAAGAGTCGTACTTGGGGATACATTTGACCAAAGATGTGCAAGACCCGTACCGCGAAAACCTCAAAAGAAATGAAAGAACAAATGTAAATGCAGAGCTATATCATGCTCACAGATTTGAAGACTCGGTATTGCTACGGGTCAACTCGACAAAACCGACGTATGGATTCAGTGCATTCCCAATAAGCTCACAGCAGGGCTTCTGAAGGAGATTCTGAAGGAGATTACCAAGGTGATTCCAACGCTTACACATAAATGCAGGAGGCTGAGGACAGCCCAACACTTCTGAAAATGAACCGAGTTTCAGGACTTTGACTACCTAGTTTCAAGACTTACAGCCATCATCCGGGCCTTGTGCTCTTGCAGAAAGATAGAGATCGGTGGACAGAACGGAGAGTTCAGAATATACTCAGAACGACACGGAGGATGGACTTTGGACCGAAGCGTCAAGGCAATCCAAGAGAGCAAGGATAAAAGTTTCAAGAAATAGTACTGGAAACATCGCAAAAGCATGCCCATAAAAACGCAACTTGACCCTAAGCTCACATCACATACGAAAAGGAACTCAAAACCATGACAAAGATGTCAGAGACGAAACCACATTCTTCGCCCCTGCAGGGGACTGCAGTTCTCCGCTCAGCGGCTGGGCGGGCTTCTCCCCGATGTCAAATTTGAGAAAAAGTCAGACCCTGTCACCCCGGGAATCACAGCGAAACGGCTAACGCAGATGCCCTGCACGCTCCCCTTGACACCCACACGCCCCACCGCCTTTTTGTGCCCCAAGACCTCCTGCCCTCCCCCTTACCAACAACTGCCCTGCGGGGCCGACCGGCCCTCCCCCCCCAAGGCCCGAGCAACGCCCCCGCCGGGCTTTCTGGTGTAGTTCAAGGGAGTCGCCAGCAGGTGGCGCTGCTCCCACAGCGCAGGCCAGACTGGGGCGGAGCCAAGAGCCTTCCATCCAGCTTGGGCGGAACTAGCTTCCGGGAAATGGGTCGACCACGAGGATCAGACACACAGGTTTTCGAGGTACCCGACGTGCAAGATCTTGAGCAAAGAAGACCCGTGAACGGATGCCGTGCTTCGGCTGACATGCATGCTCCAGCCGTGATGCTCAAACACGGCGGGGGGAGCAGGGCGCCCCCGTGTCCCCGGGGTCTGCTCCGAACACCATCAGCACCGGAGAGGGTCAGCGCCTTGTTGGATCGCGGCGCCGTGCGGCTGCAGCAGGCTCGGCAGGGGGGAAGCTGCTGGGTTGGAACGCTGGCTGTTCGGGTTAGGAGCGGGTGCCAGGCCCCTCGTCCTTGCTGTCTGCCCTTCACTGTCGTCGTGTGCACAGGGATTAGTAATTCCG